ATCTTTGATAGTGATTCACTAATTTTTTGTCAATACTAAAGAAACAATTCATGATGATGCTTGTTAATGTTATGGATGCTCTTTTGTTAATGGCTTGTGATTATAGTAGACACATTTCTTTTTTCTTTTTTTTTTTTTGAACAGCAAACACATTTCTAGTTTAATTTTCTTTGCTGAGTGATTGTTACCTTAGGAAGTTCAAGAAGAATTTTGAGATGAATCAAGATGCCTATAAAAAAAAGATTGAATATAGTTTGCTTAAGGCAGTGTTGCTTATTTATGGACCACTACACATGTGAACTGTAGTGCATAATTAAACATTTTTGGCATTAGATCAACAGCTGAATATCTACCAACTTAATGTGTTCGCCACTTAATTCACTTTCTTGGAGGTGGTCTTTTTCTGAACTTCAATAGGCTGTTGTTTAGTTTCTATTATGTTTGTGATTATATCTTTGATGAATATTGATTGAAATTTATGTTGGTGTTCATTTGATATATTGGACTGAAAATGTTGGCTTTACCCTGATTCTAGTTGGTGCTTAATTGGCTTATTTCTTATTTTCAAATTTATCAGGAATTGATGCTAGAGGTCTGTGATGAGACAGATATTGCTGAGCTGAAAATGAAGGTTGATTCTTTTACCCTTGTTATTGACTGATTTGCTTGACCATTTGGAAGACATAATTTTTCCATAGTTTACTTAGAAATTCCTTAAATGTTAAATATCAGAATTTATTTATTTATCATAAGTGATAAAAGTTTAAATACCAATTAGATTTTTAGGTGTAAAGCCTTGCAAGTGGCCAGCTTTGGGTTCTGGTCGTTTTGTATGTATTGCCATTTGATATGGTGCTTACGCTTGTTTGCTATTTGTTATTTCATGACAGATTGGAGACTTCGAGATGCATCTGAAACGGAATGTTGGGGCAACAAAAGCACCTTTGTCCAATATTCCCCCCACGACAGCACCACCTATTCCAACTAAACCTATGAATGAGTCAGCTGCTGAAGCAGCTGCTGTTGCCCCATCACCTCCCCCACCACCAAAATCCTCTCCAGAAAAAATCACTCCATTTGCAAATGTCTCCTTTGGGAAGTCATCAAAGTTAGCAGCCTTAGAGGCTTCTGGGGCTAGTAATTACGTCCTAGTGTCTTCTCCAACGGTATGTGATGCTCATAGAGTAAGGATCCATTTTTTCTTCTTGCTTCATTGAAACTGCTGTACTCATAGTTTTTCCATTACTTGTGGCAGGTTGGGTCATTCCGAAGGGGTAGAACAATCAAAGGAAAGATCCAACCGCCGATGTGTAAAGAGGTGTGGCTGCCTATCTAAACTATTATGTTTTCAATTTATCTGACTTTACAATTACTGATGGCCAAAAGCACCTTTCATGAAGTGGTGAAGATTTGTTAGTTTGTTGATAATCTCTACCCCCTCCTTATGGTTTTTCAAGCATGCAGAAGTGATTGTATCAGCTGATTTTTATCCTAGCAAAAGCTTAACATTTTATCTGCTGGAGCAAAATCATGATAGGTCTTAATAAGTCTCTTTATAAAAATATAAGTTTATATGTATAAAAAACAAATTTTCCTTTTCTGAAGATCAATGTCTAAATGTCTTCAGATCACACTATTTTATTTGAAAATATTGATATGTATCGACACATGCATGGTTCAAGTAAACTCTAATATGTGCTATATTTGTGTGCCTCTGATGCCACTTCTATGAGAACTTGAATCATACAGCTTTCGAGCTGATTCTATTTGCTTCTTATCATGACTTGCTCAGTTAGCTTTTCTTAATCTTGAAATTTGCAACTATAAATTTTGCAGGGGAATGTGATCAAAGAAGGACAAGTGATAGGATACTTGGATCAGTTTGGCACCCAGTTTCCTGTTAGGGTGGGTTCATCATTTCAGTTTATTTTATTTATCATGGTTTTTCCTTTATGATTGATGAGCCTTTTAGTGATGTGTTGCCTTATTTCCTGAGCAGTCAGATGTGGCTGGAGAAGTCTTGAAGCTGCTTGTTGATGATGGAGGTATGCCAATCCTCATCTCATTGTTTTTTACTGTATTTTTTCTAGTAATATAGACTCTCTTACCAAGGGACAAAGTCTGTGGGGTTTTCATTTCGTTTCACACAAGCAGCAAAGGGGTAATTATGCACTCCTGATCAATTCACAAGATAGAAAAAAATATTTGTATTCTCAGAAGCACAAGTTGAAGGCTTACTGTTTAAAAAAATTACTACTTCTAATTTATGGCTTGTTATAATAGCTTTCTGAACAGTTAGCATGGACAAAAATAAATAAAGAAGACAAGTTTGGCTGAGATCTCCTGTCTTGTGTATCTGTTGATACTGGATAGATGAAACCTCTAGCTAAGTTTACAATTTTCTGAATCATTATGTTTCCATTTTTTTATTTTTTGTGGGGGATTATTGGAGGGGTAGGGTTTTGGTTTTACTGGAGCGTTGAAGAGAATGTTCTGGGCATTTAGGCCTTTTGTTTCATAAATTCCTTGCATTCTCCAAATTGATGAATATTTATGATGCTTTTATTGGCTTTGTAAAATCTTTGTTGCACTGTGGATCTTATCAAGTTTCAACAGTCCATTGGGTTTGAGCAAGCAGAATTGTCTTAATAATGTAATGAATAGCATACCATACATTGTTGGTTTGTTGGATCTTATCAAGTTTCAACAGTCCATTGGATCTTGCTTATACGTCTTCCTATAACATACCATACATTACTGGCATGAAACAAGCAAATTTTAGAGAAGATTATAAGTGCTGATGCTTGCTGTCCTGATAAATGGTCTTTGCATGTCTGATGTAATGACCTTATATTCTTTTATTTTTGTTTGTATGGCACAGATGCTGTTGGGTATGGAGACCCTCTTGCCGCTGTCCTGCCCTCATTTCATGGAATCGAGTGAGCTTTCGCTCCTGTCAATGGTAATTTTCCTGATATCAATGATGGGGAGCTCCAAGGTCGGCAGTTTGTTTTCTCAAACCCTTCACTTTTACCGTAGAAGTAGCTGGTGACATATACCCAAAATTGTTGGTGTGTTGAATTGGCATTGACCCAAGAATAATTCATTAAACATTAAAGATTTGGGAGATGCTTATCATCTGTATTAGGTAAATTTTTTGTATCATGAGCAAGCTTACGGTTTTTATTCTCCAAGAAAAGCTTTGAACTTTTGTTTGCTAATGGACTCGACCGTATTGCTCAAAAATTATTTCTAGCCCGCGCCAAGCAGTGTTATACGTTTGTAAGAGTGAAGGAAACCAACTCATATTATTTTTCTTGCTGTCACTAGGTTTTGTCTGTCTGACTTGACAAGGATTTCAATCAATATTAGTTCCCTAACACAAGTACCGATGGTATCAAACTAAAGAAAACACTGGGGCTCTTAATGGCCTGGTGGCTGGAAATCAAGAAATAAGGTTCTTCTCTTTTTAATTGGCCAGTGTTCGAGTCTTGGCAGTTGCGAGTCTCACACATCAAACTAAAAAAAACTCGTGTCGTGTTGAAAAGGTTTAATTGAAGTTTTGTTAATAAATTAAATAATTTAATGATAATTTTTTTATATAAAAAATATAAAATAATTATTTTTTATTATGTAATTAAAATTTAAAAATTTCTAATTGGAATCTCGTATTTAAACTTTAAGTGAAGTGTAATTGAACTTGATTTGAATAAAGAAGAGGGTTATATTTCTCATATATATGATATAACGAAAGAAAAAAGTTGAAATGCTTTGCAGAACATGCGTGTGGTAGGACAGCTTAAACGTTTTAAGAGCGTGTTTAAACTTTAAAGTGAGCTAGCTCCTATGTTCTCTTCAAGAGGGAAGGAGAGCAGTGGTTTCTTCAACTATTAAAAGCATTTTTAAAACGAGAGTTGATTTTTCCGCACCGACAATTTTTTCTCAAAAGGGACAAAAAAAAATTTTTTTGCGCCAGGCGGTGCAGGAGTTGATTTGATGCCTGCAATGCGCTTTCAATGCCCTTGGATTTTAGGGCTGCTATGTCTTTTTATTTTTTTTAATTTTATAATATTTTAATATAAATTTAAGAATACATTAATTATATTTTTTATTATTAATA